GGAAAAAAAATTACTACTACTACTATTAAGAAAAGGACGTTCGCCTGCATTATACCATGCCTCTCACTGCGTCTGGGATTCGGGTGATGATGCGGCACCTCGCGGAGGTCCGTGCGACCCCGCTGGATAGCATTCATGTCCACCCCTCCGAGGATTTGAGTCTCCTTCGCTTTGACCTGGACGGCCCGGAGGGCACCCCCTTTTCCGAAGGCCGCTTTCTTGTCACCCTGAGCTTTGACGAGCACTACCCCGAGATCCCCCCGAAGGCCCACTTCCGTAACAAAATCTTCCACCCCAACGTCTCGGAGCGCGGGGAGATCTGTGTGAACGCGTTACAGAAGGACTGGGCCCCCCACCTCGGCCTCCCCCGCGTCCTACTGGTGATTCGCTGTCTGCTGGTGGAGCCGAACCCGGCAAGCGCCCTCAATGAAGAGGCCGGAAGACTGCTGAGGGAGGACTACGCCGCTTACGAGCGGAAAGCGCGGATGTTCACACGGCTTTACGCCCAGCGCCCGGCCGGGGTCCCCCGGTTGAACTACCCCCCTCGGAAAGAAGAACCCCTCCCATCAAGATCGACCGAGGCGCCCGTTCGGGCTTTAGCGGATCCTAACAATTGGGGGAAGGGAAGAGGGACTTCGGAGGACTGTGCTTCCAATCCACAAGACGAGTCCGCGACGCATCGCGCTACAACGATGACGACTAGGGCTACCATCTCTGGGGATGGCTCACTTCCGGGTGAATTCGACACCGAATCATCCCATCCACTTCGGAGTTTGGAGGGCAATAATGCATATTTCGCGAGCGGGAAGGTAAAGGATGATGATCTGAAGACTGGTAGTGTGAATGTAATGGTTCGAGGGGCTGGTGTACATGGCGAAGCAGGCTGTAATAAAAGTTCTATGATCGAGCTGCATGCTTCTAAAGCCGCGCAGAAGAAAATAATAGATAAGAAAAAAGCTGCTTTAAGGAGGATTTAACCTTAGAAGTCCCTCAGGGTGACGCTGGGGAAATATATTTTAAAGAAAATAAAAAAAGAGTATAAACAGATGAAAAGTTTATTTGCATTTTATTCTTTCTTTCATTTGAGACAAAGGAGAGGTTGAGTATAAGCGGACAAAGACGAAGATATAGAATGATAGGCAAAAGGGTTACCATATATTTAAACAAAAAGAAAGTTATTCATTATTCTTTGTCAGTAAAGTATTTAGAGATATTGGAAAGAAAAAAAATGTTTGTATACCTGTATATACATATACAGTACCTCTAAAATACACATATTATGAGGGTAAGTTCACTCTCTTTTACATTCTTATTGTTCACAGGCTTTTGTTTTACTTTAATTATATATGTTTTCATTTGCCCTAGTCAATAGAAGAAATGCTTTAAATTATGCACGAAACTGTGCCTTTAAAAACGAGATGAAATAGAGAAACCACATTTATGAATTGTAGTACTTCGATGAATACAGCATTGTTGTGATTCATTAAAATAGGAAAGATAAAAAATCACACACATCAACTGCAGATATTTTTAATTCATTCATTCTACTATTCATCGTTATTGTATACATCCCATGAACAAGTAAGCTTTTTCTTCAAGAAAATGAGATATTTTCAATCTATTCAATATGTCCAAAAGTCGCAGGGTTCTGTAGCCAGAAGGCATGAATATAAAATATCTCCATCGAAAAGCACTTTATTGAAGTTTGTGATTCTGGTTCATTTTTTTTTCATTATAGTTTATTGTGTTTAAATGTACTTTCTATATTCTATGTATGTGTATATTTCTTGTATTAATTTTTGTTGTGTGAGAGTTTGTTATTTCTTCTTTGCGTGGACATTTATTGTGGAGACGCTAATATAAGCCAATATGCTTTTTTTCATCCTCTTAGAACCTCTCTAGAAGCTTAAATGCTGAAGAAACTAGTACAGAATTGGACTGTTTTGAAAGACTAGACAAGTAAAATTTTTTTTAGAAGTTCTATTTCAACGGAACGTTGATTGATCGGTTAGGTATGTATCACTGGTGAATTACAGTTGAACATATGCCATTGCCTAAGGGAGGAATCTTTTTACTCTTCATTCCTACATCGATTGTATAGGTAGTATGCAAACCCAAAGATGCATAAACAATTATGTATCTGCAACTTCGACAACGCAGTTACAACACCTTCGTCTATGAAAGCATCTTTCTATTGGTAAAGAAATTTAAATATATATATTGCGGTTTAAATAATTCCAAGGCTGCCTGAAAGATATACGTTCAAGACACAGAGACTTCTTAATCATGCGGAGGGTAATATGTTGCTGATTGAGCATATCCCCACAGTCCTTTCTTCGAGCAGGGGGACTGAGGAGAATCGCATCTGCTCGTTTACGTGCCTTGAACCTTGACGGGAGCCATCCCTGTGTGTTATCAGCCTAGCACCAACCTTTGACGTAAAAGACCCAAAAAAAACTTTTTCCGTGAATGACTAAACTATAGTGTGGATTGTCATGTCTTTTATTAAAAAAAATTAAAAAAAGCAAACCAATTTGGGGTTTGAATTTTAGAAGTGCTGTGGTATGCATCTTGCTGTTTTGAGCACTACTACAGGTCCAACGACGCACAGACACACACACACACAAAAGAAAGAATTACCTTTTCTATTATTTTTAACTGCTGCCTGCGTTTTTTCATTAAATCGTATGCAAACACACTTTACAAAAATATTCTATGTAATCGAATAAAGTGTTCGTCTTTAGTTCATTTGATTCCCCTCCTTCAACCCTTTTATTTTATTATTGGTACTCAACCTATCTTTTTTTAGATTTGCTTACAGTTTTTTTTCTATTACTTGTACACGAAAGCGCTCCAAGATTCTGAAAAAAAAACTTGGAATAGGTAAATACACTGTGCGTGTGGGTGTGAGTACATTCGCTTACATACAACACTTACTATTTCGGAGAGATAATAGTAATAGTTCCATTATTACTATATACAACAATAGAAATAAATCCCATGACTGAGGTTGTTGGAATTGTCCTTTATGATAAAAAGGCGGAAGATCTCGCTAAATGGGTGTTAAACGACACCCTCAAAGGCAAGATGCAGGATCGCGTGGGCTCTTTTATTTGCGTACCCGTAATAGAGTGCTCTGAAACAGAGACAAGCTGGGGCAAAGAAGGGGAGGTTTCTTCCTCACATGCAATAGCTGACTGCTACGCCTACGCGGCCTCCACAGCGATAGAAAATCACATTATCTATGCCGTAGAAAGTGCACAAAGCGAGGGTACGCCTAGATTCTTTGTTTTCCTTCTGATTGTAGTCTTTTGGAATGGTCAATGTGATACCAGCAAGGCAGCCTTTATGCAGCTTCGTCAGATAGCCGACGGTCACTCAGACCGGTACAAAACACTACTCCATCGTATTCAGGAGCTGATATCCACCACGATGTCAAGTAAGACAAGAGACCAAGAAGTTTCATTTGAGGTACTTGTTCAAGCTCTAAATGCTAAAGTTGGCAATCATAAGATATACGAAAGTAGCGCGACGCTTGTTGAGTGCATTCAGCGGAAGCTCAGGAGCTCGCGTTCGTTCGCAGCGAAGCAAAATTCAGAAACGGTGGTACGCGGCGATACACAGTTTGCCATTCACCGTGATGCGGTGAATATGAACTTCACAAACAATCCCACTCAACCATCGTCTTCGAAGGTGTTGTTCGGCGAGAACGACCTCTCCTCAGATGCCATTGACTCCAAAGTGCATAAAGGGCAAGGAGATTGTTTTTTTATAGTTAGTGGGGCGAATCCTGAGGTCTTCGCTGCGCGCGTGAACGAGCTCCGAGCGAACGCGGAGAAAGTCCAAGTCACCTGTATTCCCATCCTCGCGGCGCCTCGCGAGGTGCTGTTGGATCGACTTTCAAGCTCACGGACGACCTCCTCTTCGCCAGACGTTGGGAAGATAAAAGTCATCGCCCAGGAGTTTCTCCTTCGCCGTAATTGCCCTGGGAAGTTTACGCCTGAAATGCGCCTCGCGCTTTGCGGGAATGTAGATAGTGGAAAGTCCACGCTAACAGCGGTTCTCACGCGCGGCTGCCATGACGATGGTCGTGGATTTGCGCGTTTGTTTGTGTTTAAACACAAACACGAGGCGACCACCGGACGGACTTCCTGTATTAGTGAAAACTACATCGGATTTTCTAGCACCGGTGAGGTTGTAAATTATCAAGCCACAAAGCAACTGGGAAAGACAGCGGTGGAAGCCTCAGCAAGAGACTTTCATACGACCGATGCGGTGAGCAGCCCCTCCCCTTTAATCACCGAAGAAAACGAAACTGAAAAGGAAAAAACAAAACCCGAAACGTTAACCTCCACGGTAAAAAATGAAAACTCGGCTGGTAATCAAGCCTCACTGGCAGCCGCCGTAGCCCGACAATACACCCCGCAGGAGCTTTCCCTACGCAGCAGCAAGATGCTTACCCTTTACGATCTTGCCGGGCATATGCGCTATCTAAAAACCACCGTACTCGGACTAACGCGAAACGTCCCGGATTACGCCTGTATTGTGATTAGCGCCAACAACGGCATTCAGCGGATGACCAAAGAGCATTTGGCGCTTTGCCTTGCGCTGAAAGTGCCCTTTTTCATCGTCATCACGCGGATTGACTCGACCCCGCGGAATATTCTCGCCGAGCTGCTGGCCAATTTAGGTCGTTTACTGAAGCTGCCCTCTGTCCGGAAGATCCCCTATCCCGTCCGCAGCCCGGATGAGCTCGTGCAGGCCGCGAAGAACCTGCGACACGATCGGGTCGCGCCGATCTTTGAGGTCAGCAACGTCACCGGCCTGGGCATCCCGCGGCTGTTACAATTCCTGAATCTTCTGCCCCTCCGAAAGGACTGGGTGGAGGCGCGGGGGAAGCCACGGGAGATGATCATCGACAACATCTTCTCTACCTGTGTCGGGACGGTGGTCGGGGGGGTTGTCACACAGGGGGTTTTTCACGTCAACGAGAACGTCCTTCTGGGGCCGAACCCCGCGGGGAATTATCACCTCGTCGGGATTAAATCGATTCACGTGCTGGGGGCGGACGCGGCGAGCGCCTCGGCCGGTCAGGACGCGGCGTTTTGCTTGAAAAAGGTCAAGCGAGGTGCAATTAGGAAAGGGAATATCCTCGCAGAGCCGCAGCCCCCGCCGCAGGCGTTTTGGCAGTTCGAGGCGGATATTGTCGTGCTTTATCATTCCACAACAATCACAACCGGGTACGAACCGATGATTCACTCCCCTACTGTCCGCCAATCCGCAAAGGTGATCAATGTCGAGCAGGAGGTCCTCCGCACGGGGGATCGCTCGCTCGTGCGTTTTCACTTTTTATACCGCCCGGAGTTCATGAAAGAAGGTCAGCGGCTGATTATGCGGGAGGGCAACACCAAAGGCATCGGTGTGGTAACCCGATTGATGGAAAAGCCAGATGAGAGAATCGGGTTGAGGTCGTTAAAAGGAAAACGGCAGATGCGTTTGGCTCCTTTTGTCACTCCCCCAGCTGGGATGGCTGGAGAAGAAAACAACAATAGGCCATTGCGAAAAGATAAACAAAAGAAATGACAAAATTTTGTGTTTCCCCTGATACAAGATCTAAGCATCACTGCTTAAAAGTCTCAATACTAAGACCTACCAATGTGAACATATCAGTAAAGAAAAAAGAAGGAATTGGAAAGGATAAAATGGAAAGACCACTCAAGTTGACAACAACATGTGCATAGATAAAGAAAAGTAAACAAAGGATCCCCCAAAAGGGAAAGCGATAATTGTGTATGCAAGGATGTAAAGGATGGGTGTGGGGGAATGAATTTTGGCATGTGTGTGTCTAAGTTTCATTGTTACTTTTAAGCATACACTGCTAATTTAAATTATTTTTTTCCATTCTCTCCCCCCCTCCCC